GATAGGGCTAAGAGAACTATAATAATCGATATATTATTAATAATCGATTATAATAATTCCTTTTTATTTATCAAATACAATTTCCTCTATGTTAGTCCCAGTTCGCGTAACACGTGCTGAAATTAAAATCGGCTGATCAGCGGAATGTCGTCGCTTATTATGATTCGGCAGAAAGGCGCCAAGCGCCTCTGCAACGATCATTTCCTACCAGAGATTTAATCAGCTCGGTGTTGATGTCGTTGATGCATTCGAGGCATTTCAGCCACGTTCTCTCTTGGCTTACCAGCAACCCCGTCGTATGTGCAAGCTTACGATAGGATAGCAGTCGCTTTATCTATATGCAAGCATGCGACTAAGCCAATCTCTCTATGTTCTCCCGCAGAATTACAGGCGAACAACGGTTCCCCAGGGAATTAAAGGACACCTTAGAGTGTATGTGGTTTGGAAGATGTCACGATACTGAAACCAAGGCAGACTACATCTGCCATTGTAACTCTACTCTGACGAATTAGCGTTTGATACATGTTTCCTGTCGCCCCGCCGTGTCGAACACCATGTCAAATCACAATTCCGACAAACGGTAAACGAAGAATAGAACAGAAGACCTGATACTAGATTCCATTTATTTTCTATTTTTCTTTTTAATTTAGCGCTCACAATGAAAAATTACGATGGAAAATGTGGCTTTGTCAAAAACAAATGCGTCCAACAGGTTAGCATTTTTTATTACTATTTCAATTAGAAATATGATTCGTTTTTAATTAAAACAATATTATTCTCTTTAATGTTATTTTAAAGGGGTACAATATCAACGTGAACTATATGCGTAGATTTATGTAATTGAAACAAAACAATATAGCTCTCGCTAAAGAACCAAAACTCATTAGAGAAAAGAAAGAAAAAAGAAGCAAAAATGAATATTCTAACTTTTCTAAATGGATAAACGTTCGTATCACAAATAACGTTAAAGAAGACGGTTTAGAACAATAGTAAACTTACAAGAATTTCTACTTTAATCTCTAAAGCGTAAATTTCTGTTTGGAACACTTTCAGTTTCGTGTAATATTAGGTGTAAATGTTACATTCCTTATTTAGGCGAAAGAAGCAATCAGCGAGTTCGTATAACTGCTTTCAAGCGAAATAGGGAAACTGTAGATAATTAAGTTTCCATTTGTTGAATTATTCGATTAAACAATCGCCACGCTAACAAACAGTTATGGGTCTGTAATTAATGCGGTGGTACATAATTTCGTTATTATCCAACGATCTGTTGGTTAATACGTGTCGAATGTAATAGATGAAACGTATGATAAATTGGTTATCCGATTTCTATCCGACAATAATTGTTAATTGTTCCCTTATTTTTTGTGTTGATCATAACGAGAAGCAATTCGTTATAAATCTTTCCGAGGAACGGAATTCGTAATCCGATTTGTTCGATGATAAATGTATGGTTTTTAGTCAAATAGAAGAAATGAAAACAAAAATTCTAAAGCATTATGATTTTGATGTATTGTATGTGATTCATTTATTTGTGTTGTTAAACTTCAATTCAATTTAGCGATTTCGATAATTCGTTACCCGCTTGATTAAAACAGAATTGCCCTTTTTGAATAGAAATTAAAAGATCATTTACTTCGCCTTTAGTATCTATATTTTGTTTAATCAAGAATATGCGGGTTTAATGATTTAACATAACAAGTTCGACATAGTAATGTTAAAAGTATATTATTTATCTCTTATTTTAGTTAGTGAACGTGGCAAAAAATTCTTACGAAAAAAGATATGTTGTACGAAAATGTGAAAAAATTGCGTCCTAGGTTAAAAGAAAAATAAGAAAATAGAAAATCACTAATTATAGGTAATAGAAAACGAGAAAGGTAAAGTATGTATGTAGTAGGAAAAAACCTAGAGAAGAAGCGGAAGGAGTGACCGTGTAAGACTATGTATACGGTAAAATGACAGAATAAAAAATCGAAAAGTAAAAAGATGTTGGGATTAAAATGGGAAAGAAAGGAAATGAAAGAAGAAAGAGGAAAACGAAATGAAAGTTAAAGAGTAAATAAGAAATTACTCTTTACTCATCTGAAAATGCTTCGTATGATTTTGCGATTTTCACGATACAAAGAAAAAAGATAATAAACGCGAGAAAATGCACAAAGTATTTTATACGGGATGAAGTTGAAATTATCGTTGAAGTTACAAAAAAAAAAAAGATTAAAGAAATGGCAAAACTATAACAAATCTAGAAGACAGAAAGATTTTAAATGTATTGTAATAAAACTTGATAGAATTACGACACTATGACATTTATGCATTAAATATATCAATCACTTTATGTTTAAGGCCACGATTAATGTAAATTTGGTGTCGTTTGTTACTTCACGCGTAAGTAAGTCACGAGTAAGTGCCCGTGGCTTTACCTTTGTAAACCGGCATTCGTTTAACTTTTCAAACGCAGAATCTTTTACCTAGATTTCAGGTACTTTTTCTTTCCTCTCATCCCTTTTACGAAACTAACCGATAATTCCTACTCAACAACATAACTCCTGGAAAATTCTAATTGTGTCTTAATTAAAAACGCGACGCGTGTTCCTCTTAACTATCCCGAATGCAATCTTTCCTCGGCAAAAATTGCTTACGACTCAATTCATCTGCCCAAGAATGAAAACAAAACCGGAAGAAAGAAAATTCAGCAACGAAAAAAGCAGAAGAAAAGGAGAGGAAACAAATTAAAAGGACTACGCTCGCTAAACGAAGAAGAGCACGGTGAAACGGGGAGAAAGACGACGGCGACGACGACGACAACGACAAGACCAAACAAAGAGACGCGGCAGAACAGAGAAAGCTCTAGCGGAGAAGCGTTGAGGGAAGCAAGCATTAATGCGACCCCGTAGACCGCAGATGTTGCGCCAATTACAAACCTCACCCTTGCGCTTGAGTGTCTCACTCGCTCCTTAAAGCCGCGGCAGTCGGAGGAATACGCCGTATTCCGACTTACGAGCCCGATGTCGCATATCTTCCTGCCTCCAGCTCTTTGTCTTTTCCTCCCGTATTCCTTCTACTCATCGACGACGATTTAGGTCTCTGTGTATGTGCAGCTAGCATGTAGCGCCGGAGGCGTGGGGATAGCACGGCCCGCCAACGAGACACGAATTTTCGAAAAGGCTCTCGCACTTTGTTAGATTAAATTTAGCACAAGGCGCAAAAGGACGATCTCTCGGTCGTTCTCTCTTTCTTTGTCGTTGACGACGGTGTTACAACGGGAAGAGGAAGGGGCTAGGCTAGACGGTTCGGCGGGTCGCCCATGATCCTTCGAAGGAGAAAGAGAAACGGTCGAGACGGAACAAGGATGCCAGGTACCAGGGGAAAAACGGGCGGAAGAGAAGGAGAACACCGAGTACGCCGGTGGCTGATATTATTCTTGGGTCTTCCTCGCTGGAGCATTATTAGTTCTGGCGTGTTAGCATACATGAAATATTGATGTTACAGAGAGCCCACCCTTCGTGCTGTCCCAACTCCGATCTCCTATGCTCCTTGGTCCCACGTCTCTTTAGATTTTACACGTATACGAGCATCCGCTTGTACTTTCACGACTTCTCTTTTACTCGTTGTCCGCGCATACCTCTCGTTTCTTTTCTCGTCGACTCTTTGTCGACGATTTTTACGGCTTTTAAGCCCCTTCGCTGTCGTAATCCGCTTCTTGGTCGTTTTACCACCGTTTTTGGAACTCCACGGTCGAAGGGATTGAATTTCTTGGCTTTGACACGCGCAAGGTTGTTGGCTTACCTTCTACTTGAATTTATATCTGTATCAGGATCTTTTACATTAATTTGATTTAAGAATCGTTTAATTAATTTACACTAAGCGATTTCGATGCGGAACTGACTATCAAATATGAAAGAATACCAAATGTTCGATGTCGAACGGATTTAATAAATCTCTGTTACTTCTGGTTTATCTAAAGTTCATTAAGACTTCTAGCTAATTAATCATTTTAATCTGTTATATGGGGGAAATAAAATAAAACTGTCAACTTCATAAAGAGAGTTCTTAATATTTATGTCGATACGGTGATTTAAATCACAAAGCGTGGTCAAAGACGTTGTAATGTGATTATAATGAAAATAAACAGGAAGTCGCAAAATAGAAGAGAAAGCGGGAAAGTGAAACCGCGGGTAAACTACCCCATTGGTTACGGAGTTAATTGAGTTTCCGAGCTTCTTTGAGGCGCTTAAGGCGTGTTGTTCCGTTCGTTAGATTTATCTTAATACGGCGAGTCCCGAAACATCCTAACTCCTTAAAGCCACCATTAAAGCCGCGATCGATTTCAAGGATTTTCGGTGCAGGTTGCGTTGGTTAACAGCCGAGTTAATTACTGGAAATTTAGAACTCGTCACAAGGGAATTCCTTACGCTTCAACGGAGTCGTTTGATCTCCAATTTTGATTGCATATCCGGTTTAATTATTTGTTCGATATTAAAAATGTTATAATATCATAAACAGGGAAGTCGAAGTATGTTGAAACAACATTTGCAAAAATAATTTAACTCCATTTATCGAATATGTTATCCGGTAGATTTCTCCTCATTTCGTTGCTAACTGTATCACGTTATTACATTTTTGTTGCATTTCCGCCTCGCTACACCCGTTTCCTCTTTCCCTTGACTTTCCCACGGGAAGTGTCTGAGTGATCGATGTGTTCTTCGAAAAAAGATCAAGATTGAAGAGAATACGTTTCGCCAGTAGACTTTCAGAGGAGGAACTTTTTTGTCATTTGCATTTACTTTTCTCCAAATAGTATGAAATTTGCATATGTCTGATCTGTTAATCCAACATTGCGTCTCTTAGGTTTTCAATCGTTCGTAGGATTAGGATCGTATTCTAATTTTAAAAATAAAGAAAAGGAGACATAAAATATAACATCGTTCCAAGTTCTGTATATTTTAATCGCGCATTTGACATCCGAATATATTTGAACAATTCATAAATGGGTTTACCTGATTTCATATTTTTCTCGTTGTGAATCGTCAGCGAGCTTGGATTTCCGTAAATAGAGTTATTCATTTCAGCCATCAGCTCCCAATCTGCACAGAAAATGGCATTTTATAGCAGTTCCTCCAGGGTTTTTGTGCGAAATAAATATCTGAAACGTTTGGTCGCTAACTTTGTTGCCTTTTAAACGAAATATACGTGGTTGTTGAAGCTTTGCGACATTCGTTGTATAAATAATAGATCGCTACCATTCGAATGGCGGTTGGCAACTAAATTAGCTTCCTTAAAGAAACTGACAGAAGCTAAGCCGCTTATGAGATCCGTGTGCAAAGATGCAGGCAAACACATCAATTGACCATGCTTTCAACATTTCTCTTGCAAAATCTATTTAGTCACGCGGAACTTATTCAATCTTGACTGTTAGCTGCTTCTGTGAAGGAGGATTAGAAATTAACAAAGTTTATTAATGCTAGTGGGAATTTTAAATGTAAATCTTAGGAATATGATCTGCATGGTTTCCATAAAAATTAAGTTTAAGTTAAATCGACCGAAAAAAGTTGCGAACGTTGCATTGATACAATGTTAATCCTTAATCGGTTAAGTTTTGATTCTACCTAAATCCACTTCAATCGTTACAATTCGTTTATTCCTACATTAAGACATGAAACGCAAACGTAAATTGCATATAGAGAAGGAGGATAAGGATAAAAATAGAAACGAAAAATGGGGAAGAAACATCCAATGTCTCGAAGGAGAAGGTCCTTGAGGCGGTATCGAAGAAAAACGAAAACATGCGGGGCTGACCTCGACCGCGGGATAAAATATTATTTTCTTCGCGATTAAGGGAGGTTTACGAGCTTACCTTTCTTCGGCATCTCCGTAGTAGATGGGCTCGGGCTGGTACTCGGCGGTGAAGACACTGCAACGAAAGAAATAAGTTTTTATTTTTAATTAAAGTTTCTTCCTTGGTAGTAGGCGCGTAGCCCGTTTGAAGTAACACTGTTAAGAGGAGGATAGTTGGTCGGCAACCAGCTATGCAAGCAGAGAAGACAGTGGAATGGCATGAGGGTTGACTCGAAACCTGTACGGACCGTTATGGATTGCGCCACCTGTTACTAACTTCACCCTCAAACGTATTAGCCACCGTGGCGTCGGCCAGGCCGCCCAACCTCCACATCATATCTTACACGCTACCTACCCATCCTACTCTCTTCAAATCCCCTTGCCACGCTTCTCTAACTTTGTCGCCCGTATCGAATATAGTTGAATAATTATTCCTAATTTCGTCATATGTTCTATGTGTTTTCCGTCGTCGTAACGTTGCGTCATCGTAGGAGAATAGTCGTGCGATCTAAGTAGGAATTGCATCTGGTTGTAGATTATGCTATCTTCCGCATCAGTGATCTGGTAATTGCAGCAATAAGAATACTATTTCATTTATAATATCTCTTTATAGTATTTTATTATATCAGAGTTGGAAGAGTTGTCATCACATTCTCTCGATAACTCATTTCGAATTAAAGCCAAAAAGGATTTTCCTTTGGAGAAAATATATTTATTAAATATATACAGCAACCTAATATACAGGGTGGTTGGTAACTGGTGGTACAAGCGGAAAGGGGGTGATTCTACGCAAAAAAGGAAGTCGAAAATATAGAACAAAAATTTTTCGTTTGAGGCTTTGTTTTCGAGAAAATCGACTTTGAATTTTTGCTCTGTACGCGTGCGGTACGTTATAACGGATCTTACTATAGATCGTTGTCTCGATGGAAAAATTAAAAAAAAAAAGAAAATTAAAAAAAAATTTTTTATTCTACATTTTCGACTTCTTCTTTAGCGTAGAATCACCCCCCTTCTGCTCATTTTCGACTTCTTCTTTAGCGTAGAATCACCCCCTTTCCGCTTGTACCACCAGTTACTAACCACCCTGTATATTAGGTTGCTGTATATATTTAATAAATATAGGTTTGCATATCAGTGATGTTTGTTCTGTTTTGTTTGTAGACTGCTTATTTCCTACAGTTTGGAATATAGTATATCTACGAGATATAGATATACCAAAGAATGGTAGGAACGAAACAAGGATTTTTTCAAAATCGAATATAATAGTAGTATAATAGTAGAATGATTTGCTTAATAGTAAAAATGAGAATTTCTTAATACTAAAGAATAGTACAGAATAAAAGCATCTTCCATTTTATCACTACGGATTAAACGTTGGAGCAAGTATTTTACGAGTTATTCAGAATGTCTTTTACGTATAGAACTTTTTCTATTTTTATCATCCGCATAAAAAATAGCTTATAAAACTTTAAACACGGATACGTCTCTTACATCTCTAATTAGTATAGTATATTAAAATCCTTTTCAGTTTTTCTCCTTTCTCGTTTGCTTAAACTTAAAAATGTTTCAACTTTTGAAATGATTTCCTAATTAAATATTCGATCATCTAGCTCGCTAGCTTCAAATATGAAAACATTTTTTGTTTGTTTAACCAAAAACTAATTACAACTGGAAACTATGTTTTACTTTTGCGATATTTGTGCAGCGGTATAAATGCAAACTGTTTTCGAGTCAAGCTCTATATCGAATGTTGTCGAAACTTGAACAAGACCGATCAAACATCGTGGAAGGAAATCGTCAGAATTACTCGTGCGGAATTCCGCGCTAAGCGCGAACAAACTAACTTACGCGTCATCACAGTGACGCGTTCACCGCAGAAAAGTCATCGTTATTTGTCACGAAACGTTGAGCGATAGTCTGTGTGTGGAAGGTGCATGCCACTGAGATACTTGCATGCTACAGAAGGTAAATAGGATAGAATGGCGAAGTATGCCTCTTGCGGAACGTATTTACGCGCCTGAATATACATAATGCAACTTCGTGGTTGCTCTTTTCATCACGAAATCACCCCCAAATTATTTTCTAGCTTAATTGAAATTAAATTACTTTCTCCGATTTTCGAAGTAGCAGTTCATTTTCCTAACCATTGCTCTGTTCTTATTTTTCATATCAATGTAAATAAAATACGATATTTTCTTAGCATTTTCTATTTGTCTTGTCTGTTTCCTTTATCCTCTTGTTCTTCCTGTGATGGAGAGCGATTAGATTTTTATTTGGTATTTCCATCGAGATAGCAGTAGTTCGACGGCGTACAGTTACAAGAATTATTAAACTGTAATAACACTATCTACTTATTGTTAGATATTGTAAATTCAATATTTGAAAGAACTATGATGAGAAAATTAATAACATATTCAATATTGAAATATTTTAATACATTCAAAATTGAAATAATTGAAACACCTGGTCTGAACTGCTCTAATCATATTGACATTGCAATTAATAATTTCGTGTGTTTTAATGCTTGAATTTTGATGGCACGTACATCAAGTTTCATATTCAGCGTCGAGCTGTATTAAACTTATCGAATTAATGTTGATGTTAAATCATCCGAAAACTATCTAAGGCTTAAACTTTGATGCTTTAGTACAATGTATACGCAGTGAGGAAAATGCACTTTAATTAAGGCACAATAGAACGTTCTGTCTTACTTCGAGTGTTTCTCTAGGACTCTGGAATATATAGGTAAATACTTCATCAGTAAATTTCAAAATTATATTTTTATTTGAAAGGAAAAGTACGCACATCGATACGTATTTATTTTGTTTACAGGCATTTTTACAATCTTCTCCCCTAACTTCTTCAATTTTCTGCTTCACGAATTTAGTGATATTTTATATACTTAACACAAAATATGATCATTTTCCCTATGTTAATCATGATTAATCTAACTATCTATAATATAGTTATAGAATTAATATCACTCATGCGTGTCTGTCTAGAGTAGAATGGATTTTGCTTCACGAATATAGACGTGCATATGGCCAAAAGAATTAAATCTATACAAGTAAAAGAACAAATGAAATTCTCGATTAATTCTGGAACGAAATCGCAAAAGCAACAAAACGAACGGATAGAGGAGACATACGATGTAGAAAATTATTTAAATCCCCTTCGCCACTTTCAATTAGTTTTCATCGCGACACGTCACGATTATCGATCTCCCCGTTTTAAAAGGCATGGTTTTATTATTCAGACAGCGTCTCACAGACAAATTAACGAGTTTGAATGGCCGTGGCCACTAGAATATTTTCGTACGACATGTCGACTAACATCATTAACATGAAATATGCATACACTTATTATCCATAATGTTAGAACGTTTAAAGCACGAATTCATCGCGATGAATTATCTTGTCTCTTGCAGATTCCTGTCGTCGATGTCGTTGGTGAAACAGTTCCGCTTGATCAATGGTCAACCTTTTATCGCGAAAAAATCAATCGTTTAGTTACTTAGTAATTAGTTGGTTGAATGCGACCCACTTTGTGACTGACCGCAAAAGTTGCACTGACCACTCTGAGTTGATTCTTTCGTAACACTTATAATCGCATAGACGCGTGTCACTCGACGATAAGCCTAAGCAACGCAACAGAAAAGCGAGTTTTACGATTCCTGACAGCATTAATCGTACTTCCTCGACCTGTTCTTTAATTGTAAAATATGATATCTTTGAACTGACAGATCGATAGTAATCCCCTTTTCTTTTTACTCTATTTTACTCTATTTTAATTGCACGCATCGATAATTTTTATCCGCTAAGGCTATCGTAATTACAAAATGTTTTTAGAGAAGACTTGATCATAAGAAGGATAGGCTGGATTATTGGTTTATGAAGACTTGTAGTCGTTCGAGGGAAAAGGAGAGTAGATCTACGAGATGAGATAATCAGTCTTATTTATATTGTTTCATGGTGATTTTGAAGGTTAATTTCAGTAACGATAAATCTTTCCTTATTCAAACTCAACTATTACACGAATACGAACAGTCATAACTTTTTCTTTTTTTTTTTTTTTGCAATCTCTGTACTGTAAAGTTTCTAATTTACGCTACTCATTTTTAAAGGGTAAATTCTGAAAGTTTTTAATGACTTTAAAGGACTGATTCCATAATATATTTTCACAAAAAGCGCTTTCAAACAACGGTGCAGGATAATATCACAACTCCAAAAAAAAGGTATTAGAGTGTGAAAAGCTTTAACACAGCTCTTTCGTTTGCATTATATTGTATACAGATTTCTCATTGCCAAACTTTTTAGTCTGTCGCAAATGAATAAAGAAAAGGTTGGAGAGAAATAGATCGGTATTGTTTTCAGTATTAAACTTTAGTACAAATATTTGAAAATGGCAAACCCATAGTTTTATTAACAGGAAGACCTGGAAAACTTTAATTTTCTTTGTCTGAAATTCATTCCATAACAGAATTTTCTTCTTCATATCAAATTCTTTATAAGTTATTAATTTTTCGATATATGCTTTAACATAAATAACATATTCAATAATGTATTCTCGAGAAGTAACAGTTATATTGATTTTTATGCGAACTAAAATTTCGGATCGCGATATGTTCGAGTACCAGAATATTTGGATCATAAAGCTTCCAATAATAATGGAAGTTTTTTCATCGAGAAACGGAGCGAATTCGAATTCCCGTAGCGAAGATAAAATATTTTTATACAAACGATATAAAATTCTATATAGAAAATATCTTTATATTCGTGCTACTACAATATTAGTGTAATACCAAATATATGTTTATAAAAATATGGTATCATTATCATTTGTGGTATTTTAAAAGACCAAATAATAATATTTTACTTGACTATTTTGTTAATAGGAAATTTTCTAAATAAATAGTAATTAATGTAGTTTTAAATGTACTATTTTTATGGGTATAATACGAATCGTATATATAAGAAATAGCGACACGAGTCACGCGAATTCTATCTAAATGCAATTTGTTTTTTTGTTTAATTTAGTAATGAGAATAAAAGAAGTTCTAATCGCGCAAAGATAACA